CCATGCAACAACTCAGCTGTCATGCAGGGAGGGGCTGGCAAACTGCAACCCAGGCCCCCAAGGACCATGATCACTGCGTCTGGCTCACCCCCTCCAACTCTGTCTCTGGGGCCTGCTTCTCCTCTGCTTCCCAGCCCTGGTTGGTGTGCACGACTACAGCCTCTCCTCTCATCTGCCACTACCAGTGACTCTCACCTCTTGGGAGCTTCTTGCCAGTAGTTTCTTGCTGTCTCTGCTGTGGCCAACCCACCACCTCCTAGCTGTTCTGCTGGAATATATCTTGGAGAGCCTAATCTGTTGACTTCCAGCAGGTAGGGTCACAAGTAAAAGTTAAAGCTATTTGTCTAAATACAGTTCTGTTTTAAAACATACGTCCCCAATTTCCAATCTCTTAGAGCACCTAGAGAAAAATAAAACTCTCAAGCAAGGCAAAGTGATAACCACCTTTCTGACTTTTTGTTTTCGCTCCAAGGATCTAAAAGGAAAGATTTAAAATACTTCACTTGATCTATGATTTTATGATTGGAAAGAAGGTAGGTTAGCATATATAATAGGTGCACCTAACACCAAAATCATTGATAGCCCACGACTGTGATCTAAGGCACCTTTGTGTAAGGTACAAAACGATCAGTGCATGCGGGTGTGTGGGAGCAGGGTGAGGAGCATGTGCTAAGGTTTGGATGTGGTTTGTCCCCACCAGAACTCATGTCAAGGCTTGGTGCCCAATGTGGCGATATTGGGAGGTGATGTCTTTAAGAGGTGATTAGGTCACTAAGATGGATTAGTGTCTTTCTCACAGGAATGGATTAGTTCTCAAGACAGCAGGTGTTATAAAACAAGGTTGCTTCTTGTGTTTTGCCCTTTTGCATGAATTCCCCTTTCAATTCTCTGCCATGTGATGACACAGCATGAGGCCCCCACCAGAAGCCAACCATTTGCAGCTACCCAACCTTGAACGTCCAGCTGCCAGAACTGTGAGCTAAATAAACTAAAACTCTTTCTTTTAGAAATTATCCCATTTCAGGTATTCTGTTCTGGCACCAAAAATGGACTAAGACGTGGTCTCGATGTATTTGTACGTTTTCATATACAATGAACAGATTTATGGTCATAGAAATCAGGAAACAGCTGTCTTGGGAGACTGGTAGAAAGGAACATGAGGGAACTTTAAGGAATGATGACAATGTTTTATAGTTTGAGTGGTGGTTACCAGGGTAGAAATCATCAAAACCCAACTGAACACTTAAGACTTAGTATACTTTACTGTATGTATACTGTACGTCAATAAAAAATAAAAATAAATCCCCTGTGTAGGTCTATGTATTTATGTGTTCCAGGACGTGACTACGCAGGTGCATGTCCATGACCTTGGTATGGGGTCTGGGCTGTCAAAAACCATATGCACTTGGACACACAGCAAATACACCCTGCAGAACGTCAGCTTGGCCCTCGCAGCCACCAGCTAATCCCTTCCTCGTTTTCCCTCATTTGCCCAGCATTTTCACATTGACCACAATCATTATCAAGCCTTCTCAACCACCCTCAGGAGCGATTTCTCTCATTTCCTAGCTCTTGCCTGGGCGTGAACTGCTTCCCCGACCAACTGCCCCCTGGGTGCTCTTCTGTGCTTTCTCCCAGATGGACGGATAAGCATTCTCTGACCTCATCCTCTCCTGCCTAATCCCCTCTTCTTCTTTCGGCATCTCAAAGCTCTCTCCCTCTATTAGCATCTTCCTTTCTGACTTCAAACATTCACAAGTCTCAGCTTTCTTGGATCAAATCATGAAACCATAAGAAAACCTTAGATTAGCTTGGCCTGTGCCCTCTGAGGCTTGTGCAGGCACAGAGGCTGGTGCTGGGTCCTGGGCTGGGGAAGTCTGAGACTGGCCAGCTCTTAGCAAAGCAAGGAGAGGGAGCTGTGCTAGAAATAGCCAGCCCTCCCAGAATTCACTGGGGCAAAGGATGCCTAAGTGTGAGTGTAGACCATATATGGACCACACAGGAGAGATGGCCACCTAGAAGCCATCTTAAAGGGACTTTGCCCAAGAGAGCCACCTAAAGGGATAATGGGCCAATCGCAGGTGATAGGGGATTCCAGAAACCAGGGGCCAAGGGAGGAAATGAAAGCAGCAAGACAGAGATGTCAGCACGTGGGCAAGGGAACTGCAGGTTAGAAAGACCCACAAAAGCACTGCACGGGGGAGAGAGTCGGCCACAAACTCCCCATCAAGCTCAGAGTGTGCTAAGGCCATATGACAAAGGGACCTTTCTTGCCCCATCTCTACTCTCTTACAAGTTCCCTCCACCAACACTGGATGGGTGAGAAGCCAGTCTGCCTGGGGTGGAGCGGGGTGGGGGAGTGAGGAAGCAAGATAAAGAGAGAAGTCAGCCACTCTCCTCTCCAAATGTGGGAGCTCAAAGAAAGCTTGAAAGAGGGAAGTGACAAGCTTTAACTTTGAATTAAGTTCAGAGTTTTCATTATTAACATGAATTAGACTGCAGTAAGTTTGTCCTGGTAACCAGATGGAATCCAAGAGCAAGCAAAGGTTTAAAGAAAGAGTAGGGGTGACGACAAGCTGTTTCATGATTGCATTCCGCTTCCTGACTGCTCTGCTTGTTCAATGTAGCAGTTACACTTGCAAAGCACCAAGCAGTCAGTGCCTACAACACAGTTCAGTGCTAGATACGGCAGCTGTTAAGACTATCATTAATAATCTTGGGATCTAGAGGGAGGCCGATAGGAGCTGAAAGTGAGGCTCTCCTAACGGTCAAGTTGTTTGGGATAGCCCAAGTAGAGGACTCGGGAGGTAGTGAGTTCCTTCTCCGAGGAGATGCAGACTCGGCAAGGATGCAGAAGGGATTGAGCCCCAGATGTGGGAATGAGCCTGACAATCTGTGATTCCAGTTTATTGCTCATGGCCTCAACTCTCCCCTCTACAGGGACGACTTCAGCCCTGGCCTCTGCCCTGGATTTCAATCTCACATTTCCTCTTGAAGTAACTCCCCATCTGCCCACTGACATTCCTGTATGGACAACTCACCATCACTCCCCATGCAGCCCATCTAAAACGGAGCTCGTTATTTTTTCTCCAGCCAGCTCTCCTTCCACACAACCCCTGACTTCCTTCTTTTTATACACAGCCTGATTTTCTCTCAGCCTGATTTTCCACATCCCTTTCATTCATTCCTCAAAGCCAAATGGACACAAACTCTTATCCACTCTTCCCTGAGACCTGTCCCCTACTGGCCCCACCCTTTCCATTTCTGTGCCACCTCCAAGATTCAGATATTTATCATCTCATGAGATAGCCTCCTGAGCAACCTCCCTGCCCTCCAATTTCCCTTTGGAATCCTTAGCATGTGAGGTCTAATCTTCCTTAAACACAGCTCTGGTGGTGTCATAAAAGCTTTTGATAAACACTTGTTTCCCAGGGAATAAAATACGAACTTCGCAGCTAACATTCATAGGCCCTGCACCATCCAGTTTTTCCAACCTGCTTTTTCCAGCCTCATCTAAAACCATTCAACTCTCCCAAAATTCACCGAGACCCACTCTGGGACCGGTCACGTTAGATAATAAACACACAGAGATGAAAGACATAGTTCCTGACTCCAAAGTGCTCTCAGTTCTGGTGGCAAGATAACAGGGTAAATAATTACCAGAGAACACAGAGATAAGATAAAGGACACCACTTGTCTTAATGTCCGCACTCCAACAGAAATGATCTATTTACTGTCCCCCAAATACAGGTCTGCACTTTCCTACCGCCAGGTTTTCTTTGGGCTCTTTTCTCCTCCTTTCCCCTATCTAAATATTTCCCATTGTTAAAGGCGCAGTTCCTAGCACCCCTTCTCTGAGAACTCCAGTTCCTAGGCAAGGGATCTCTCCCCACTCCGGAGCTGAATGTTCCAGTGAGTAACACCTACTCTTCCCACGTCTCAGCTTAGATGGATCATTTTCTGGAACGTCCTCTCTCACATGCCCCCTACTCGCACCACAGTTCTGGGTTAAATGCACCCCCTCTGTGTTCCTACTGCACTTCATAATTCTACTGTGGCCCATACAGTGCTGCTTGCAATTTACCTGTTTCTCCCACTAGACTATGAGCTCCTTGAAGGCAAATACCGTGTGGATCTTGTTCACAGTTGAATACCCAGCTCCAAGATTGGACTGGCCTCAGTAGCTCAATAAACACACGAAGGGAGGGAGGAAAGAGTAAAGCCGTCATCATGAACTCCCTGATACTGGCTGTGCTGTTATTTTCACTCCTGCTTCCCCAACCACTGTCCCCAGGCAGACCTATAGTCATTGGTCCCCCCAAGGGATTTGTCCATTCTTTTATCAAGGCAGCAACCTGCAGCTCCCTCTACCTGCCCCGCTTGTCTCTGAACTTTTTGAGGGCAAGGACTGTGTCTGAGACATCTCTGTACGGCCAGAAAATAGAGGGGGGAAAAACGAATATTATAATTTATAAATGTAAATGATAAACTCCTTGTGAGCAGGAAACCCTCATCTGTACTTTCTGTTTGAGAAAACTCTGAGCAAATCCACTTCACCTCAGCCAGTGTTTTCGTTTGTAAAGCAGAAACAGTGGGACCGTGTTCACGGCATCCTCCCTAGACGGGTTTCCTCATTCGCAACACCGGGCTGTGCTGCTGTAAAGCCCGTAGAACAGTCCTTAGCGCTGTCAGGGCCAACATCAGTAGCGGTGTTTCTAAAGCTTTGTAAACTGACGTTAAGGGTCTCTGCAACTTGAGGGACGACGGCACTGGCGGCTGCACGGGAGTGAACTGATGAGATAGCCCCTTCCTCCCACCCCACGCTGGGACTCTCGGCCTCCTTGACGACCTTTCCCTTCCAGAGCTCGGAGGCCGCTCCCGCCTCCAGGGGCAGGAGAGGTGGGTCTGAAGTTGAGGGCTCGGGACCGGGACCCACTCCGCCAGACCTGCTGCGCGACCTTGGCCGGGCTCCCGGTCAGAGCCTCTGTCTGGGGCCCCACCTGGAAAATGGATCCTCTAAGGCGTTTCCAGCCTAAAGCCCGTCCTCTTCCACCTCTCGGGTGCGGACTCTCCCTCCCACTCAGACTGCGGCTCCCCACCAGCCCACGGAGCAGCCGCGTTAGGACCGGGTTGTCAGGCGCGTCCCTTGTCCTTCCTCCCTGTCCCCAAGAAGTGGCTGTGGTATCGCGAGATCTGGGAGCGCGGGCGGGGCCGGAAGCCCAGCCACTCTCGCGAGGCCAAGGCAGAGCGGAGCCGGGAGCTCTGGGCACTGTGGAGGTCGTTGGAGTCACTTGCTCGCTGCCAGCACCTTCATCTGCCGGTCCGCACCCCGCCTGCCCCAGCCATGCTCTCCGCTCTCGCCCGGCCTGCCGGCGCCGCTCTCCGCCGCAGCTTCAGCACCTCGGCCCAGGTAGGCCCGACGAGGGGCGGCCTGTAGGCGGAGGCCCCGGCCCGGGCCACGTGCGTCCCTGGCTCGCGAGCAGCTCTGACCCCCGGGCCAGCCTGGACCGCAGCGCCGTCTGGCACTGGCCGGAGGCTGTGGCGCCCTGGGCCGGCCCTGACACTGGGCAGGAAGTGCGGGGGAGAAAGCCGGAGAGAGGGGCGAGGTGGCCCAGCTCCGGAGCTGGTGCACTTCGCAGAGCTCCCCGAGCTCACCCCCCAGGTCCCCCAGAGGGCCCGGTCTTGGCCTGCAAGCCTTAAAGATTGAGATGCCACGGCTCTAGGTCTGGAAGGAACTTACCTTTTTATGTAGCTTTTTTTTGCTTTGACGTAACTAATCTCCTTGCAGCATCCGTGTGAGTTGTCCGTGAATAAGAGAAATAATGTGTAATTTTTAACTCCATGGTACAAACTGAGGCACTCAGTATACAGTACTGGGCCAGGGTTACTCAGCATTTGGCCAGCGGATTAAAATTCAGCACTCCTGACTGCAGTCAGTGGCTTTAGCATCAAGCCTCTCCTCTAAGAACCTGAAGACTCTGCCTCCTCTTCAGAACTTTCCTGAAGGACCCTTTCTGCTGTGGGCAGTCCGAGCCTGCAGCCAGGTGTCTTAACAGTGCATGACTTGGCTTGAGACCACTTAAGCCTAAGCTATTTTTAGCCATCTTCTAGGCTAGTTCTCACACTCTGTATGTATCAGAATCACCTGAAAGCTAACAAAGACCAGAGGCCCAGGCTTGTTGAGGAAGCATAGGGTCTCCACCTTGGTATTTTTACCAGGTGCCCCGAGTGAATGTAATACAACCGAAGTTTGAGAACCCCGCAGGTGCCCACATTGCTTTTTAAGTCCCATGCCCAAGAGGGACGTAATTATTAAAGGGGATTCCAAAGTTATCGTTCAGGTTACATCCTCCCATTTCCTGTACATCCAGTTCATTTGAAAAATAAATGCAAATACTCCTGGACAGATGAAATGATTAAGACTTAGGTTTTGGGGGAGGATGGTTTGGAGGTGGAGCTCAGTACCTAAGGTAGATAATGGAATGGGTGGGAAAGATGTTTGAGATGGCAAATTCTTCATGATCTGACTGGTTGAGAAGGAAGAGGCAGAAAATGGTTCTACTAGTTTACATTTGGCAGAACACAAGTGCTACTTGGGACCAGGGATAGACGGGTAGAGAGGATAAATGAACAATTGAGTTTGTAGGACCAGTGGAATATCTGATTGAACTGGGAATACAGAGTTGGACTTTGGGAGTCCCAAAGACTAGAGACAAGATGTGGGAGGGATAGTGAAGATCCGGAAGTGGGTGTGATTGCCCAGCCTCAGGTTCTGGGTTCATCTGGCTAGTTAAGTTTTCTGGGAAGTCAAGGGTCCCCTAATTAAAGCACCAGTAAAAATAAATAAAAAACCAAAAGCCGGTTTGAATTCAAATCTTGGTTGTAGTGTATACTTTCAGGGTTTAATTGCCTAAGCAGAAACCCTCTGTGTTTTTGGTTTGTTTAGTTTTGGTTTTTTTATAATCAAAGCTTATCACTAACTAGCATCAGTTACTGTAGAATATATTGTGTAGTGATAATGTCAGGACCTATTGTAGATGCCTGCCTTAGACGATCACACAGGGCACTTTGAGTTCTTGTGTCTGTTTTCCTGGTTTGTCTCCACCCTCCCTGGCTGCTGCCTTGGCTGCCTGCCGGGAATATGCTCTCCTTCTCATTTGTGAGTTTAGATTAGAAACTAGCTCACTGAGGTTGGCTAGAATTTTGATTGGGTCTTGAATGAGACCTAGAGGGGAGGTGCTTTTGAATAATGGGAGTGAGCATTAGGGTAGAACTTAACTTTCTCAAAGACTTTTTTCTTTTTTTAAGCCCAAATTCAGGAGTCAAATTGGCTGTGTTCAGCTTGTGTTGCAGCTTCATCACTTGCTATCCATGTGAGCCCGAACATATTGCAACTTCTCTATGCTTCAGTAAAATAGGTCTGTTCATATTACATTATAGAGTTGCGAGAATTAAATGAGTGAAGATTTACTTCAGTGCCTCACACAGAGCAGACCCTAATAAGTGGTTAGCTATGACCATTTTTCTGCCAGTGTTCCCAATAAATGAGGTTGCTGACTCACTTATTAGATGACTTGGCTTTCATGTGAGGTATTACTATATAATAAATTCTGCCTCCCCTAGGAAAGGTCACCAAAACACAATCATTAAATTAGTTCTTAAAAATTGCTTGAGTGGGAGTGGCCTAAAGTAGCAGTTTTTCCAGGCTCTTCTGTCTCCTCCTACCCCTTAAATGCTGATGTTCATAGGATTCTGCCTCTGGTTCTCTTCTCACTCTGTGTTCCCTTTTGTGCCTTGTTCCTGTCCAAGGCTTCAGTTAATCCCAGTGCAAACACTAATGACCTGTAGACCAGGCCCTTTGCCTGAGATCTGGAGCCCTTTATCTAGGGACCCACTGGATACATGTATGTATCTAGATGTTTCAGTGACTCAACTCAACATGCAAAACTGAATTCATCATTCTTCCAAACCCCTGACCGTTCCTCAGTCCCCTCTATTAAAGGTAACGTTATCCACTCAAACCAGGAAGTTAAGTCGTCCCAGATTCCTCCCTCAGCTCACCGTTTGAATGGATGAAGAAGGGGAAGGGGGTTACCTGAATCTGTTGATGCTGTTTCACAGATCACTCATAACCCGTCCACCTTGCTGCTGCTGCCTTTTTCCCATCCTAGAATCATGCTTGGGCTATTGTAGTAGTCTCCCTGCCTCCATCTTGTATCTGTCCAATCCATCTTCAGCTCTGCCTCATATCTTTCTAAAACAGATCTGGTCCTGTTCTTCCCAGCTTTCGAGACCCTCCTGTGGTTCCCCATTGCCAACAAGGACCAGACATACTGTGCTAGGCCCTCAGCTCTGGTTTTCTTCCTCCACGTGTATCCACTGCTGCTCAAGCCGTAGAGGACTGTTGTAACTGCTTATCCTCAATAGGCCTTACTCTATCACATCTCCTCCTGCTCCCAGCATTCACCTGGTAAACTCCTACTCATCCTTCAAAACCCTCTCTAACAGTTTGTCATCTCCTTTGTGCTACTGCTCTTTCTGGTCTCTGCCTCTGTGGCACTCATCACACTAGATGCTGTTTTGTGTGGTGTGCATGTCTTTCAGTTTGCAAGTCTTGTCAGTGCTAGCAAGTCAGTCTGGCATGCAGCAGGTAAGAATTCAGTGCCTGTTGAATTGTAGGTGAGCTTTAAAGGATGAATAGGCAGCTATTTTGGAAAATAGTCTGACAGTTCCTCAAAAGGTTAAACACGGAATTACCGTGACTCTTCATTTTCACTCCTAGGTATATACCCAAGAAAATTAAAAACATACCCCATACAAAAACTTATATATGAATATTCATAGCATTTTTCATAATAACACAAAATGGAAACAACCCAAATGTTCATCAGTGGATAAATGGATAAAAAAAAGTGAGATACAGTTGACCCTTGAACAACATGAGGGTTAGGGGCACCAACCCCTGCACAGTTGATAACTTTTGACTCCCAAAAAAGTTGACTACTGATAGTCTACTCTTGACTAGAAATTTTACCAATAACATAAACAGTTGATTAACTCATTTTGTATGTTTATATGTATTATGAAAATATATACTGTATTCCTATATTAATATAAAGTAAACTAAGAAAAATGTTAAAGTCATAAGGAAGAGAATACATTTACTGTTCATTAAGTGGAAGTGGATCATCATAAAGGTCTTCATCCTCATGGTCCTCACATTGAGGAAGAGGCGGGGTTGGTCTTGCTGTCTCTGAGGTAGCAGAGACAAAATCTGTACAAGTGGACCTGCGCAGTTCCAGCCTGTGTTCCAAGGGTCATCTGTGTTTTATGTTATTCATCCATGAAAAGGAATGAAGTACTGGTACTTGCTACAACATGGGTGAACCTGGAAAACATGCTGGGTGAAAGAAGCCAGACACAGAAGGCCACATACTGTGTCTTTCCATTTATATGAAATGTCCAGAATAGGAAATCCATAGACAGAAAGTAGATCCGTGGTTGCCAGGGGTGTAGGATATGGGGAGTGGCGACTAATAGGTATGGGATTTCTTTTTGGGGTGATGGTTGCACAACTCTGAATATACTAAAAGCATTAAATTGTGCATTTTAAATGGCTGAGCTGTACGGTGTGGGAAATACATCTCAAAAAAGCTATTTAAAAAATAAAGAATGTTCTCAGACAGTGGAACATGCCCCCTCTGCTCTTTCACACGGTGTTTCTGTGACAGCTCTTTTGCCTCTATGCCTGATGCATCTGGTTATTTGTCCTCTCCAGAGCCAGCAGGGGTCTTCATTCCTGCAACCCCAGTTACCTTGAGGGCCTGTTGCTAGGCACTCAGTAAATGTTTATAGTTTTTAAAGCTGCAGATTAAAGATAAGGCTACTGTTATCAGTCTAGCTGGTTGATTGGGTAAAGCTTATTCTTGATCTTTCAGAAGGGTTTTTGGAGTATGACCCTAAATATCACAACCTCTATAGATATAAGTTCTCCCCATTAGAAACTGGACCTTTGGAATGAAGGTCCAGAATTCTACCAGAAGGAAACTGGTAGAAGTACGGTGATTGTGTCTTGCTTTGGTACCACTGCAGTAAAAGAGGCCCAGTGCAGTATTTTTGCAGGATACCATGTAGATCCTTTTAATGCTGACTTCATCCTAAGAGTTCTTTCTCTGTGCCTCTTTTTTAGAACAATGCTAAAGTAGCTGTGCTAGGGGCTTCCGGAGGAATTGGGCAGCCCCTTTCGCTTCTCCTGAAGAACAGCCCCTTAGTGAGCCGCCTGACCCTCTACGATATCGCTCATACACCCGGAGTGGCCGCAGACCTGAGCCACATCGAGACCAGAGCAACTGTGAAAGGTACTGGGGCCAATGACGCTGGAGACTTTACATCTCTTCTCCCCAGTAGACCATGATCCGAGTTTTGAGTAAGATTCTTAGATGAAACTAGATGTTTAGAGACTTGGGGTTTCCACGTTAGATTTAGAATTCAGTTCTACAAATGATTACACCCTTTGGCACTTGGGTCTATAAAAGCTTAAACAACAGTATCTTTTAGAAATACAAAGTAGCCTAATCTTTCCATGTTTTACTTTTCTAATTTGAAAAGTACTATGAGGATGGGGAGGAGGGTGCGTGTCAGAGCCTCTGATGGGGATTTGGGGGCAATAAGATGTGTTATTCGTGGTGTGCTGCAGGCTGCCTTTCTGCCAGCCCAGGGTTACCCCCAGGGTTACCTTGACCAGCTCCTCCAAAACACGGCCTCTTGGGAAATCCACAGAAGGCAGTATCTAGGCTATTTGGTAAATATATAAGTTGTAATAAATATCTTTATCTTTATATCTTTTCCTTAGAATACTAAAAATAGAACTATTAGGTATAAATATTTTGAAGTTTTTATTATAAAGTACCGAATTGCTGTCCAGAAAGGTTGTACTTATTTCTTTCCCTACTGACAGTGTATGAGAATGCCGTGTTTGATAGTGTTTTACGTGATAGTGTTTTACATGAATCCTCAACTGGCATAAACGGTTCAGGAGGCTGACGTATCAAGTCATGTCTATGTGCCTCCCATAGTTCCTCTGAATTGGTTTGCTCATTTTCTTTTGGGCTATATATTGAGTTTCTGAAGGCTCCTGCAATAAGGAAAAGTCAAAGTCAAAGCAGATTTTGGGCCAGGTATGGTGGCTCATACCTGTAATCCTAGTGCTTTAGAAGGCTGAGTCAGGAGGATCGCTTGAGCCCAGGAGTTTGAGGCTGCAGTGAGCTATGAATGTGCCACTGTACTCCAGCCTGGGTAACAGAGCGAGACCATGAAAATCTTTGAAAACATACTGTTTTTTCCTGAGATGATAGGAATGAACAAAATAGATACTAATGTTTAGAGTCCTTGTTTATCAGCATAGGGCGTTTTCTTTCATGGCCTTCAACATGCCTTCTAATCTGACACTATAGATCTAAGGGGTTTTGTTGGGATGATAGAGAAGTGGAACGAGCAGCTCTGCTAATTCTAGCTGGAGGCCGAGAGTGACTTACAGTGCTAGTAACAAGCAAGTGACTGGGTTTGAGTCATGGAAACCTGGAGCACTGATCCATTCTACAAGGGGCCTGGGCAGGGAGAGGCTAGAGGAAAGTAGTGTCCCACCGCCTGGGATATTTCAGCTCACAGGGCAGTAGTTGTCGGTGGCAAGAAATCACTTTACAGGCGGGACTGTCTGTCCTTTCCTGAAGTATTTAGTTGGCCTTGAGCCCAAGTAGGGCCCATCCTTCCCAGGCTTTGTCCCACAGAGGTGGTAGCTTCTCTGAATCAGAAAGGGTGAGATTTCTCCTTGGGATGTTTTTTCTAGGCTACCTCGGACCCGAACAGCTGCCAGACTGCCTGAAAGGGTGCGATGTGGTGGTTATTCCAGCCGGAGTCCCCAGGAAGCCAGGTGTGTCTGAAAGCCTTGCCCAGCATCTCCCCAAATAAGAAGGTAGCTTTCCATGTAAAATGGATTTAATCCGATCTCTCTGCCGCAAAAAAATTCCACAGGCTCCCTGTTGCCTGTGGGGTAAAGATCACCTCTACTGTCCTGGTGTTAAAGCCCTCGATGTCTGCGGTGTGTCTCCCCTCTCCCCGGCGTCTTGCCATTCCCCGAACATTTCATCCTTATGCCTCTGCTTGTGGAATGCCCTTCCCTCCGCCTGGCTTCTCCTTGGGCATTCTGATTAATCCTTGGCAATCCCCAGATGCCACCCTCCCTGCTCCACCCCCACAGACCTCTGTTCTGGCACTTGTCACACTGGACTGTTTTCCCTACAAGAGAGATTTACTTGAAACAGGGACTGTGTCCTGCTTGTGGTTAAATTTCTTACAACAAACAGCTAACACACATAGCACTTGGCACCTGTTTAGAAATTCACTGTGTTCTCTGTGAACATCTTGCACTGGATCATTTACAGGCATGACCCGGGATGACCTGTTCAACACCAATGCCACAATTGTGGCCACCCTGACTGCTGCCTGTGCCCAGCATTGCCCTGAAGCCATGATCTGCATCATCGCCAATCCGGTGAGTGTCGCTGGGCTCAGCTTTCACCGCTGTCACAGGGGGTAGGTGCTGACACGGTGGGAAAGCTCAGAGTTAACAGCATAAGTCTGCAGCTGTGCTGGTAGGGAGAAAAAGCAGAGTAATATGCTGAGATGGAGAAGTCGGATGCACTATTAAGATGTCCTTACATTTGTTTCCTAAGGATTCCTTCTGAACTAAATGAAAGTTTTAACCTGGTTCTTCCACCAACTAACTGTGCCTTTGGGCGAATCACTTCTCTCTGTATCTTGGTTTACCTACCTGACGATAAGTCCATTCTTAAGGCTTCTTTCAGCCATGATTGTGGTAACCCATTAGCTCCTTTTTTGTTATACAGTAATCTTCCCGTATCCTCGGGGGATACGTCCCAAGACCCCAGTGGATGCCTGAAACCATGGGTCATACCAAACCCTATGTATACTGTTTTTTCCTATACATACCTACCTACGATAAGGTTTAATTTATAAATCAGACATAGTAAGAGGTTAACAACAATAACCACAATAGAACAATTATAACAATATACTATAATAAAAGTGGCTTTTTTCTTTCCTTAAGTCGAGAAGTTTGACCTTTTCACTTGAAGTACTTTACATCTTCTCTCTCGTGTCCAAATTGTTGGCATCACTGCTCTTGTTCTTTGGGGCCATTATGAAGTAAAATAAGGGTGACTTGAACACAAGCACTGCCATAGTTCAACAGTCGATCTGATAGCCGAGACTGCCACTGAGAGATGGGCAGGCAGGTGGCATACAGCGTAGGCATGCTGGACAAAGGGATGAGTCACATCCTGGGCGGGATGGAGCGGGACTTCATGCTGCTACACAGAATGGCATGCAATTTAAAGCTTATGAATATTCATTTCTAGAATTCCATGTAATATTTTCAGACAGCAATTGACCACAGGTAACTGAAACTGCAAAACGTGAAACCACGGATAAAGGGGGGACTATCTGTTTTCTGCTTGGGGGTTGCAATTCCTGGTTCCCTGTCGTCCCCATCTCCTCACACTGAGCACACAGTCTCAGACTCACAGCCCCCTGGGGCCCTGCTCGCCAGTCTTTGCAGGTAGCTTATTCTTCCACTCAGAAACTTCAACCTTGCCAGGGCCTTGTGTTGCATTTAACAGCAGCCCCGGCGTTCCTCCTGCTGGTTGAGTCTGGGTCCTGGTGTCTGAGTGTGATGAGGATCTGTGTGAAGGTGCAGTGACAGTGATGTCACCGAGGGACGTGGCTGCTGATAGCACCCAGAGCTTGTGCTCACAGCCTCTGAGAAGAGGATCCTGCCTTCCCTGTGAGCAATTGGTTAAAAGTAGATAGTAGCTGTTTCTTTTGTTGGGGAGCTAACTAGTGCCTAGCACAGACCTTTCTGTTTTGTTTTTATTATAATCTTCTTGTGCACCAGGTAACGTGTTAAGCACTTAACCCTATATTAAGTCATTTATCTTCACAAAAACTTCATGAGTGAGTTGTCATTTCCCCCATTTATGGATAAAGAAACCAAATCCAGGCTGGGCGCGGTGGCTCACGCCTGTATACCTAGCACTCTGGGAGGCCAAGGCGGGAGGATCGCTTGAGGTCAGGAGTTGGAGACCAGCCTGAACAAGAGTGAGACCCCGTCTCTACTAAAAATAGAAAGAAATTAGCTGGACAACTAAAAATACATAGAAAAAATTAGCCGAGCATGGTGGCGCATGCCTATAGTCCCAGCTACTCGGAGGCTGAGGCAGAAGGATTGCTTGAGCCCAGGAGTTAGAGGTTGCTGTGAGCTAGGCTGACGCCACGGCATTCTAGCCCGGGCAACAGAGCAAGACACTGTCTCCAAAAAAAAAAAAAGAAACCAAGTCCAGGAAGCGTAGGGTATTTGCCCAGGCTTATAACATAGAGGGATGCAACTGGGATTTGGCCTTACATCATCTGCACTTTCAGCCGCTGTGCAGTGCTCTTGTATCAGGGATGGCCATTCAGGTATGAGCCCCAGCTGAGCGGGTGCCCAGTGGAGCCATCGTCACCTATTCAAATTGAAAGCTGATAGGGAGTAAGCATCCCCACAGCAAAAGGTTTCTTTGTTTACACGGTGTGACCTGTCCTTTATGGCAGATAGCTTGCCTGTACATGAAGTTATAAGACAGGGCAGTTTAATTTGGCGCCTTCGGACTTGTTCATGATCTCATGAAAAGATTTTTTCCTTTTGTCGCTTGGCCCTGCTCTCAGAATGCAGGGAAAAATATACCTGTCTCTTGGATTTCATAGGTTAACTCCACCATCCCAATCACAGCAGAAGTTTTCAAGAAACATGGAGTGTACAACCCCAATAAAATCTTCGGTGTGACAACCCTGGACATCGTCAGAGCAAACACCTTTGTTGCCGAACTGAAGGTAAGGGATAGATCAGGTGTGGCTTGAGTCCGTCCCTGCTAAACTTTTCCGGTCTCCCACCCTTGCTCATTTGCAGGCATAGAAGACACCAGGGCACTTACAGGTCACATGTGACTTGGGAGTTTTAAATGTTTTTATGGCTTGCCCCTTGGTGGAAGCAGCCCTCTTGTTTCCTTGTGGACTTCATGCAGCAGATCCCTGCAGGTTGAAACTCTGGCCAGCTTCTGTCTCCACTCGGCTCACTCTGTCTTTCACTTCTCCCTGGGAGTGTCAAGGGTTCAGACGTCTCCTGGGTTTCTCGGTGGCTGGACTCGAATCGTGCTCCCTTAGGAAAGTTCCAGAAGTGCGGAGATAGCAGAATTGTCAGCCCTGGTCTCTGATTCTGACTCCCTCTTTGGGTTGCCTGCAGTAGCTTGCCCCGGGGACTCCTGGGCTGGCCAGAGGCCTGGCTCTCCTTGGGCTGCCAGATTTGTCTTGAGGCAGGTTTGGTGCAGCACCAGCGCCGAGCCTGGAGTCCTTGGTGCCTTTCACAACCTGCTTTCTAATTGTTCTGGTTGTGGATCCAGCAGAACTGCTTCCTCTGGCCTCAAAAAATATTCTGGAGCTTCAGACCATTTTGTCTGACTTTGCAGATTTGAGGAGGCTTCTCAGAAGTAGGGCCCGACTTGTGCACGCAGCTTGGTGAGCAGTGCATGTGCAGGACTGTCGGCCTTCAACTCCCCTGCGGACCGGACAGCTGCTGCTGAAGTGTTGGAGGTGCCCCGCTGTAATCCCCACAGCAGCATGTCCCAGGGGCCTGGTGCTCAGACTCCGTTCTAGGCAAGGGGGTCACAGAGGTCTGTAAGTGGCCCCAGGCCTCGGGGGCTCTGTGGAGGGGAGAGACACGCTTTGATTCAAGAGATGATTTAATTGAGTGACCAGGTCAGCACAGGTGCGTGTGGGGTGTGGTAGAACCTGTAGGAAAGGAACAGGAGCGTGTGATTGTCTCCGAGTCTGAAAGTGGACCAGCCAGGGCGGCGGCGCTCCCTCCAGCCTGCGGGGACACGTTTCCCAGGCCCTAGTCCTGCCCTGCACTGCGGTAGCCACACCTACGTGTGGCTGTTGAAATTGGCTAAAGTTAAATAACATTAAAATTGTATGTCCTCCATTGCATGAGCCACTCGTGACTCCTGTATTCTCGCAGAAAGTTCTATTAGGCAGTGCTGTTCTTAGCCTAGATTCTAGGCCCTCGCAGCTTCGCTGTTTGAGGTGGCGGAACAGGGGATCTTGGTCCTTGCAGAAAAGCTAGCACTTGACAGGCTTCTGTTAAGTGAACTGCCGTTTTTTGAGCTGCCTGACATTCTGGAAAATTCCCGAATTGTCTCAAATATCAGTTCTTAACACATGAACTGCCATGTGAGTTAACTCATGCTAGTTTTGAGCCCGGGGCCCGTGAAGCATACGTGACTCACGTCTCTTTACCTTGGGAGCCGTGTGAACTTTTTCAAGTTGCATTAACTCACACACAGAAAACAGTAAGAAATAACAAATTTTTCCTTAAGTCATAAAGGATCGTTTTGTTTTCTACGTTTTTATTCTGTTTTTGTAATAAAACACCGTGGCCCCAAGGAAAAAAATTTTTTTTCTAGTGTGGCAGTCAGTGTGTTCAACTTGGCATCTGGTTCCTCTCAATAGTCTAAAGCCCTTTTGTGACACCCGTGACCTTCCTTCCCTTTCTGACCTTCCTTCCCTTTCTAAGTGGCTTGCAGCAATGTCCTGTCGTTTGCGTGTTATGCTCTGCTTTCACACTCCCGGTGGCTTTGCTCTTCTGTTCCCTTTGTCTGGAACACTCTTTCCTGGTCTGCCTCCTCCTGCCCCCCAGGAAGCCCTCTCCTGGCTGATTCCATGCTCCTGTCTGAGCACATGGCGTTGGGACATTAGTTTGCATCAGCCTTTCATATTAGACGACAAGCTTCTGGAAAGCAGGGGTATGTCCCTGGTGACCACACAGTGCCTGGCACGTGTGCACCCACACCCTTTAACCTCTTGGTTCTGTGACTCCTGCTGCGTGAAGCTGATCCTGCCTGCTCTGCCCACTCCTGAGGTTGACCCTCCCTTTCCTGGGCCAGGCTTGTTTCCTAACCCAGGCTGGTCTCTTCAGCCATGGCATTTGGGAAAGGTGGCATCATTGTGGGAGCCGCTCACCTCCCTACCATAACTCCTATTGGGTTTTGGTTTTGGGTTTTTTTCTGTTTTGAGAAATCCTAGTTCATAGATTCTTCAGTTTAAAAAATGAGTCAGCCTCTCCTAGCGAGTGCTACTAACTGGAACCATGGTGTTTGCCCCATTACAACCCAGTTTTGTTCTTTCTGTCCCAATCACCGTTAGAGGTGCCAGACTTCTCACCCCTCAGTTTCCTGGAGTAGGTTTGAATTTTGCTCTACAACGAGGGAAAGGGAATTTGATTTGTTCTCTGTGACAGTGTGGGGACATGAGTCTGGGCTCGTGCATGGGGAGTGGCATTAGCTGAGAGAAAGAGAACTGCCGTCCCTGATCTGAGAGGATATCAGGCCGATGGGGGACTCTACAGGAGGCAGTTCCGGCTCACTGTAGAGGAAGCACCTGTGGTGGCCTCCCCAGACAAGCCCATCCTCACCGCATCTGCCCAGCCACCTGGTGGGACCGTGGTAGAAGAGCTGAGCATGGCTGGAGCAGGACACTGTCTCTTCCCTGATTTCTTTGTTCCGTTCTGAGTTCTGTGGATTTTTCCAGTATTGGTGCTTTAGGGATGACTATGACATGTTTTATACTCAAAGAGCTGGTTAACAATCAAGCTTTATACTTTGGTGGCCAGGGTTTGGATCCAGCTCGAGTCAACATCCCTGTCATTGGTGGCCACGCTGGGAAGACCATCATCCCCCTGATCTCTCAGGTACGTGTGTGTGACGTTGCAGGAAGCTTCCAGATCATGAGCCCCTCTCCCAGGGCCTGCTTTGAAGCAGTCCAGACAGACCTGAGAAGACGTGGCTATCCGCTGTGTTTCGGAAGGATTCCTGCTGTGGTCAGAGGTGCTCACGGCAGCCAGCTCTAGCATACAGTGAGAATCCTGTTGGAAACATCACTGAATTCCCGGTTAGATTAAAGCAGATGAAGGTGCTTTGTTTAAAAATGAGTCAAGACAAGGCAATCACCACCGAGAATAAGATAAATCAACTTGACATCATAACCCTTGACTATAATGCACTGAGAAGGACACAAAGTATTTCTGGTATTTTTATCAAAAGCATAACTGTACAAGAAAATCATGAAGCATCTCACATATCCAAATTGGTGGAGATTCTACAAAAGGAATGATCAGTACTCTTGACAAGTGTCAGGAAAGACTGGAACTGACAGGGTGAGGTCCTAGCTGGGCACCTGGAACAGAAAAGGGATAGTAGTGGGGGAATTGGTAAAATTTGAATAAGGTCTATAGTTTAGTTAATAATATTTATATTAATTTCCTGTTCTTCATGATTGTGCTATGGTTGCGTAAAATAGTAGCATTAGGCTAAACCAAGTGACAGAAATCTTTATACTAATTTTATGACTTTTCTCCAAGTCTAAAATTAGTCCAAAATATAAAAAGTTCTTTTAAAATGAGTGGGGGGCTCACTAAGCTTCCCAACAATGTTGATTTATCTTTGTCATTTTTCTGTGAAGTCTTGGTTTCCCATGCAGTGGTGGTGGGAGGGAGCCTCCCGCCCCTCTTCCATGAGGACGGGTTGGGGGGGTGGGGAGTGGTGGCCAGGAGGCTTTGGGGACCAGGACGAATCAGCAGTTGCCCAGTGACCCACGGCTTGCCTTGCAGTGCACCCCCAAGGTGGACTTCCCCCAGGACCAGCTGACGGTGCTCACGGGGCGGATCCAGGAGGCCGGCACGGAGGTGGTGAAGGCCAAAGCCGGAGCAGGTAGAGTCCCCTGGGCAAGGGCCTGGGCAAGGAGTGGATAGTTTTCTGTGTTTCATTCACATTCATTGGTAAGAAAGCTCTATATGAGAGGGCAGCTCAGCCTGCTTTGTCGGGGGTCAACAGGCATGTTTGAGGTTGGCAAAGCTAATTCCATGCCATTTGTGAGTAAGTAAAATTAAGGGATGCTGGCCAGGATTCTCGACTTGTTAAGCTAGAAAACTTAGAGATGCCTTAGCTGGCAGGACGGGCTCACCTGGACTTCACGGCTGTGGGGCCAGCGTGGTGACCTGCCTGTGCTCTCCTAGGCTCTGCCACCCTGTCCATGGCATATGCTGGTGCCCGGTTCGTCTACTCCCTTGTGGATGCAATGAACGGAAAGGAAGGAGTTGTTGAATGTTCCTTCGTTAAGTCACAAGAAACGGACTGTACCTATTTCTCCACGCCACTGCTGCTGGGGGTGAGTATCCCAGAGCTCGGTGCCTCTGACCATGGAAGGAGGAGAGTTATCGCTGCGTAGGATTTAGGAGCTTTTCCCTGTCCGCTTGCTCTGCAGTTCAGATTTCCTTCATGCAGGAACTGCATACCCCTGCCTGGCATGTGCTTGGATTTTTGAAGGTAGAAGCACATCACAGAATTAAGAGCTGGGAGAAGTTACAGGCTGTGAAGTACAAACCTCCCAGCACATGAATGTCGTTCCCTGCGGATTTGACAGCAGCTGCCCAAGCGTGATTACTGATCAGACGCTCCTTCTATCTCAGGACAGCTCAGACAGCTCTAAAAGAAACAGCTTTCCTGAACACCATCACTCTGTAGCTTATATGTGTTCATTCTGTTTTATTTCAATAGATTTAGGGGTACAGGTGGTTTTTTTTATATGGATGACTTATATAATGGTGAAGTCAGGGCTGTTGGTGTACCTGTCACCTGAATAGCGTGCATTGTACCTGATAGGTAGTTTTTGATCCCTCACCCCCTCTCACCCTCCCTATATGTGTTCATTCTTGTTCTGACTTCACATGCTACAAGGCCTAATCCCTATTCCAGGCAGGCCTGCTTCCTTGTTCCACACCCCACTGGCTTTCCTTCTTGGGATGTACCTCTAGGTTGGAACCATGTGGTCACATTGCTGGCTTCAGCAGGCTGTTTTGGAGTCAGCTATCTGGTCTGGTTGACACTTACTGAGACTTTAGCAAGCAGAAACCCTTAGGTCTTATAACCCATCCAGCCAGGTTTCTATTTCTCAGGTGTGGGCAGCTGCTGAAGTCAGGCACATGTGTGGGTGGCTTCATCACATGTCCAGAAAGGAAGTTTCATCACTTGATGGGCTACCCCTAGGGCTTTCCTGTACACACTCTGATGCTCAAAGATCCTTAGACAAGGCCCCTGCCCTTGGTGGAGGGACAGACGCTCAACGGTCTAGTTCATCGCAGGTGTGTGCAGAGTGTGGCAGACCTGCCGGTGAGGGGCACCCGGGTCTGATGGTCCTAGAGCCAAGGAAGGCTTTAGGAGGAGATGGCATTGAAGCTGAATCTGAGGCTATTGTGGCACAAATGACGCTCAGTACATGAGACAGTGGCGGAGACACCTGTTGTTTTGTTAACGTCAGACATTTATCTACTTAATTACCTGTGATTCAGGTGAATATTAAAATGTTGGCCAGGCACAGTGGCTCATGCCTGTAATCCTAGCACTTTGGGAGGCTGAGGTGGGAGGATCACTTGAGGCCAGGAGTTCAAGACCAGCCCAGGCAACTTAGCAAGACCCCCCCATCTTTACAAAATAAGAAAAATTAGCCAGGTGTGGTGATGCACGCCTGTAGTCACAGCTACTCGGGAGGCTGAGGCAGGAGGATCAGTTGAGCACAGGAATTTGAGGCTGCAGTGAGCTATGATGATGCCACTGCACTCCCGTCTGGGCAACAGAGAGAGATCCTGTCTCAAAAAAATAAATAAAATGTTTCTTCAGTCCTTTACCGACTTGAGAAAGAGGCTAGAACCCAAAAATAGGCTCCATCAGGGAGATGATGTTAAGTGCTCCTGAGGGTTGAGTGCCACCTCTGCCAAGTCATCCTCGCGCTCGCTTGCAGCCTCCTTGGAGGTAGACAGGATGCTCATTTTATGGATGAGGAAGCAGATTTAGAATGTAAGGAATCATCCAAGGCACATGCAGAGTGAATGACAGAGGCAGGATCCCAGCCTAGGACTGTCTAACTCTGAAGCCAGAGCTCCCAACAGCAACTTGGACCCACCTGTCCCGGGTCAGCACTGCACACTCGGGCCGCCCAGAGCCCACAGGTGTAGACGGTCTCGGCAGAGCTGACGAAGTTACCAGTTGGGTTTTCTGTAACAAATTCTTTTGTGGAAACTTCATTTTAAAGTTTTACCACCTCCCTCCCTCCTTCAGAAAAAGGGCATTGAGAAGAACCTGGGCATCGGCAAAGTCTCCTCTTTCGAAGAGAAGATGATCGCCGAGGCCATTCCTGAGCTGAAGGCCTCGATCAAGAAAGGAGAAGACTTTGTGAAGAACATGAAGTGAGAAGCACTTGAGAGCAGCCAGTTTCCTTAATTTATTAAGGCATCGTGTTCACTGTAAAGCCGTGTCAGATACCTTTGTATTTTAATTCATTTCGATGATAATTATTAATGCAGTCATCCTTTCCAAATCGTGGGTGGGTCTGTTGGCACGTCAATAAAAGCAGTCTTTGATTTCCTTTTTCAAGGCCCCTTCTGTAAATGGTGTGCTTTCTCCCCCATGAAAGCTGACTTCAGGGTCTTGTCACCCCTTTTGATCACAAATCAGAATTAGATATTATCTAACTATTAGACTGAAGCATGGTGGTTTCTTTGGTAGCTTCAAGAGAGTCTAAAATGTTTATTTCTGAAATAGGACAAAATATTCAGTTTCTCAGTACCTGCTGCTCCCAGCCCTTCTCTCCACACTGTTCCATCACTCGGGTGTGTAAACTGGAAGAAGGGTCAACCCCTGAGTCCTTGTTGGGGTCATTCTCCCTCGTGGGGTCATAGTTCAGCAGTTAATGCCCGGCGGCCATTTTCTTTCCCTAATTTTGTGTTGTGTTTTCTGGCTAAGCAAATAGCTACCTTGTCTGACCTCTGACCCCCTCTGAATTTCACCTGTGACTGAGCCCTGATGTTCAGCGACAGAACTCACAGCTGGAGCTATGAGGAAAGCAGGTGGGGGTGCACACGGACACCCAAGACTTGGGCTGCTGCGTCAGCGCTGTGCTATCTGCCATGGAAAGGGCAGGGTTTTCTTCAGTGGCCTAAAGAAAGGCCTTTGTTGGATTGAGGGGTGGGGAATTAGAGATTTGGCTCCCTTTGGTGTTGGGGGCAGTCTGTTCCCCAGCTGTGGCCTCTGGAGTGGAAACTATACCTGAGAAGGAACTTTCCAGCAGCAGGTGGTGACCTGCCGTTGTAGGGTGGAAGTGGGAAGGAGGTAGTGGTATGACCAGTGGATAGATGCTGATTTACCCACAAGAGCTTTTTTTTTTAAACTAAAACTGAGATGAATTTTACCATAAAGGACAACATCATTGTTTTCTTATAAGAATAAACATGTTCATTGTATAAAACCTAAAAGTAGCTAAAGAAAATAAAGCAAGAAAGTAATCACTGCTAATATTATTTGTCCTTTTGCATACTTCACTAGCAGAGATAATGTAGCCTGCTCTTCTGGTTAACTTACTATGTAGCAATTTCCCACTCCTTGATTTAGCTGCTTTCAAGCATTTTTATCTCTGGATTGACAAGGCTCAGCTGGGTAGTTCTTCTCATCGTGTGCCATTGGCTGGAGGCTTGGCTGGCCTGGAACATCCAAGCTGATGGCTGTTTGGGAGATGCCTGGAGAGCTGGACTTCTCCCCGTGGTATTGGGCCTTTCATTCCTCTACAGCAAGGTGGATGGATTCCTTGATGGCTCAGAGTTCCCAGAAGTGTGAAAGCAGAAGCTGCCAGGCTTTAAGGCAGGCTCAGAACTGACACAGCATCCTTCGTGCCACATTCTCTTGGGTAAAGCAAGTCACGGGGCAAGCCAGGTGCATTGTGTGTGGGAACCACCCACAGCCTGGCTGGCTACCAGGAGGCCTGGTTCTTTGGGGACCCTTCCACCTTTGGAGAGAAGCTGCCACAACTGATGCCTTCACTGTATGTACATAGTCACCCTCGGCACTTTTTCAGTAACTGGATAATCATTAGAGTGAACATATCTATAATTTATTCCACCGCTGTTGGATAATTAGGCGATTTAGATTTTCACTACATAAAGAGTACGACCCTGAACATCATTGTACTTTGATCTGTTTCCTCCTGGTGGGTCTGCGTGCAAGACGCTGTGCCAGCTCTGAGGTGCACTTGCTGTTTCATGGGATTTTTGTAGCAACCCTAACAGGCAGGACACAGGACACAAGAGCCAAGTTGTGTCTTGGTCTAGGGTGCTCACTGCTCATCTCCATATATCTGGGTTACCACACAAGAACCTCCCAAAGAGTTTGCTCAAGGATTCTAGCCCCGCCCCTCCGAAGTTTAGATCTAGCAGTCCTAGGGGAAGGGCCTGGAACCTAAAATATTCCAGATTCTTCCAAGTTATGCTGAGGGGATGGGGGTGCTCTTTTGACACTATGGGCGCTCACAGATAAGTCAGGGCTCACGGGTAAGTCAGGGAAGTGAGAATCTGCAGAAAGAAAAAATGAGAGTAAGGTACCGTGTGATTGACTCAAAAGGAGGATGAGGTTACTTCTGGATGTCTTGGCAGAGCACGGATCAGGGAGGACTGCCCCCATTGAGATACACAAGATACTGGGAAGGGAAGAGGGGGAGATGGCATTTGCACTGGCCATACAGTCTGGATAGGGTTTCAGCCAGTAGGGGGCAGCAGCAGGAGCAGGTTGGCATGAGGGGCTGGGTTCAAGGTTTGAGGATCAGCGACTGACTTGCAGCCTGGGGCTCACGTAAGGGGAGCAGGACAGTGTGGGGAGAGTCTTGACTGACAGGCTAAGCGCTTGGGCCTCATCTGTGGATAGCGGGGACAGGGTGTCAAAGGTGCTGGGCAGGATGGTGACACTGTGGCCCCAGCTGCTCAAACTCCACTAAAAGGGGTCTTGTTGACGCACAGATTATGACCCAGGAGCCTGGTGCGGGGCCAAGATGCGCCATTTGGAGCCAGCTCCCAAGTTGTGCCCGTGCTGCCAGCGCACACGCCACACTAGAAGGAGGAAAGATGTGGCGGCAGGGGCCACTTGGGACGCTGAGGGCCAGAGATAGGGTGGCAATGTGGGCAGGGGTGTGGCAGGGACAGGGAGGGAACACATCAGCATCTTCAGCCCCCTTTCCATCACCCCGAAGGCCACCAGCAGGTTGTCGCCAGCCGACTGTCAGAATGGGTCAAGCCAACCTCACCCCCGCTTCCGAGAGCTCCGATTATCCGCCCTCCAGTGCCGCGCAGGGACTGCCAGCCCCACTCCCACTCCTGTCCCCCTCTGCGAGGAACAAAAGGCCAGGGATTGCATGTATGGTGTTAATGACCAGAACGAGGTGGCTGAGGCCTTTGCCTGGGGAAGCTGAGAACCAGCCTTTGAAGAGCAGAGTGTGGGAGCAGCGGGGCGCCCGCAGGGAGGGTAATTAGGGAAAGAGTTAGTCCTGTAAAGACGCTGCCGCTAAGTCCTGGGTGGACACAGTCATGCTGAGTAATTACAAGGAAAGCGGAGTCTCGGTCCTCTCTGCGAAGGCGGAGGGGATGAGCAGCTTAACCTAGAATGACCCTGACCCTCACTGGCAGGGCCTGGGCTCGCGGCGGGCCAAGCCTCCCTGCAGTTTCATCCATCGCCTGAAGAGGGAGCTGGAGGCTGAGGTTGCTCAGAGGCTCCTCTGCCCGCTAGGTCAGGGTCAGGGGGTGAGGATTAGCATTCTGGAGCCAAATCCGGCTCCCTGCTCTGTCTGACCTCTGCCCATCCAGGCGGGAGGGGGCAGCTGCCTTCAGACAGGGGTGAGGAAGGTGGGAGTGGATCCAGGCAGGGCTATGGACACCAGCTCCCAGGTTGGGGAGCAGGGCCTGCAGACACAGCATCAGCGCAGAAAGTGGGGTAGGGGGTAGTGGGTCTTGAGAGAACCCCCTAACCCTGTCAGCTGTGCCCAAGAGAAGCAGGGCAGAGCCCCACAAGAGGAGCTGGCAGAGCAGCTTCCGTTAACCAGGTGACCTTGGGGTCCTCCTGTCCCAGCACCCTACGTGTACGGCAAGGACAGGCCATTCCTGCCTGCCACCAGAGAGGTGGGGAGTAATTGCTCCACACCCAGGGTGGGAGGAACTGCTGGGTAGCCAGGAGGGAGGGCCCAGGGCAGCTGGGCAGCTGTAGCACCCTGCACAGGCACTAGCAGCCTTGGTCTGGCCTCTGGCCCCCTGCGACAGACCCTGCCAGGGGGCTGGGCCTGGGGTCTTCCAGTGCTGGCCTCTCTGGGTTCCACTCCCTAATCCCCTAGGGCTGGACATGGATCTCTTCAATTCACTTGAAGCGGCCACCCACACCCTGCCCCCTGCCTTGTCCTGGCCTGGTGGACTCGCTGCCTTGTGCAAACTTCCTACAGCGGCCAGAGCTGACCGGCCAGAAATGAGGTCTTTTTTTCCCCTCCTCTTCATTTTCCTCTAGTTGCTTAAGTTTCCTCCCAAAGTTTAATGGGGTCATCCAGGGGCAGGCAGAACCAGATGCTGAGAGGTAAGACCAGGTGGGCCGATTTGGGGCTGGTTTGCACCAGGAGAGCTAATCTGGTTGTGAGATAGAGAAATGTTGGAACCAACTAGTCGGCAGCTGCTGTCCCAGTCTGTGGCCCCTCCCCTGAGGCCCCCTGGATGACCACCATGGAAAATGGGTAACACCTAGCAGCATAGGGTCTCCCAAATGAATTGGCCAGTGCCCAAGTGCTTCTGGTGGTTAAATATTGTAATACCCCAGTGGACCGGCACCCCCGGTGCAGAGGAGCTAGAGATTGGGGGCCTGAGAACAAGCTATCTGCCCCCAACTCTGCCCCCAAAGCCACAGCTACTAAATGAAGTACTGATCTGACACAAAAGCTTCTCCCCAGCCTAGTAGAGGAAAATAAGTGTGTATTATATTATTCCATATATGGGGATATATGGGGGAGGCTTCCAAAACCTATTTGCTGTTGAATGTAAATGCATAGAAAAAGGTCTTGAAGGACAAACTTCTAGAATGGGGAAGGAAATTGCCTTTGGAATGTGTGTTGTACTTAGGATGCTCTCAATTTTTTACTCTGCATATTTTGTGTGATGGGTTGAATTGTGTCCCTAAAAAATTCATATGCTGAAGCCCTAACCCCCTGTTCCTCAGAATGTGGCTTTATTTGGAAACAGGGTCTTTGCAGATGGAACTCGTTAGGATGGGGTCTACTGGAGTAGACTAGGCCGCAATGCAAGGTGACTGGTGTCCGTATAAGAAGAGACAGAGACAGACACACACAGGGAGAAGGTGGCCATGTGACGACAGAGGCAGGGATGGGAGTGACATTTCTTGGTGCCAAGGAGCACCAAGGATTGCCACTACCACCAGCAACCAGGACAGAGGCCTGGGACAGATTCTCCCTCCGACCGTTGGAAGGAACCAACCCTGCTAACACCTTGATTTTGGACTTGTAGTATCTTTAAAAAGCGTGTCACTGAGCTAACCCTCCACTCTAACACTGCTCCCCATACTTGTGTCTTGTCATTGAA